TGTTCGGGCCAATCATAGGGTTATCGAGGATGCTCTATCGATTGATGAGTATATGTAGGGGTCTCCGCCAATCCCATCACTGAGAAATAGAATCCCGCTATTTGATTGGTTCAAAAATAGACCAATCAGGTTTCAGGAGCCCTTTTTTCTCTTATTGTTCGGACAAGGCATAGCCGTGTTCCGGCCACTCATAGGGTTATCGAGGATGCTCTATCGATTGATGGGTATATGTATGGGCTCCTACTCAGTTCCATACGGCGAGTATACTGCTTAGGCATTTGGCCTCGAGGACCCAAGGGTATTCCCCAATAATAGGACTTGAGGGTCAAAGGGTACCCCCTAATAGGAGGAGTTGAGGACACAAGGGTACCCCCGAATAATAGGACTTGAAGACCCAAGGGTACCCTCCAAGAATTGGACTTGAGGACGTAAGGGTATCACCCAATAATAGGACTTGAGGGTCAAAGGGTACTCCCCATTAATAGGACTTGAGGACCTAAGGGTGTCTCCCAATAGTAGCACTTGAGGACCTAAGGGTATCCCCCAATAGTACGACTTTAGGGTCTAAAGGTGGCCCCAATTGTAGTACCGTTACCCCGTTCCCGGGTAACTGGTAACGGACCGTTACCAGTTCCCGGGTAACTGGTAACGGTTCCGTTACCAGTTACTCGGGAACGGTAACGGTAACTGCCAACCCCTAGGTGTGAGTGTGAGTAACCAAACATTCCCACACATCCATGCTCACATTTTCTGCTGAGAAAACGATCTAAATACAATGAAAACATTTTTCTTAGAGTGCTGCACAGGTGCACTTTTTTTCACCCGAAACCGGACCGGAGCTTTTTTCCATACCCTAGTCCGAACCGACCCGACAACTCGGTACCCGGACCCAAACCGGACCCGAATAACTCCACCCAGTACTCGACCGGCAGCCGTTTATAAGTATAACACACCCGGCTACTATTATCACGTACAATCAATTTCAAACTTTATTTCATATGAAAAAGTATACAATCTACTTAAATAAATAAACAACAAAAACACATCTGAAATTACGTAAAAAAAATGTGGAAAACTCGGATTTAAATCCGAGCGTTATGTGTACTTCAAAAAGTGAAAACACAGAAGCAATTTCCGTTTAAGTATTTTTGCAGTAGGTGACTTACCATCTTGTTTCTTAATGTTTTATATACCATTTTGTAGCCCGTGAAATCCTCTATCAAATGGTGTATAATAGCTGATGTTTTGCTTGATTATGAGAGAAAAAGTTTTTTTACGAAAGTTGGGATAGGTCAATAATCGCATAGAAAAACATAGAGAAAAATGACTTTTTTTGCGATAACTCAGCAATGGCTCTACGAATCATTCTCATCTTCGAACTCGACCGAGACATTGATGAGACGTTACTGTGTACAAAATTTCATCAAGATCACACTCTCCTTTCAAAAGTTATCGTGTAAGCAGGCGTACACACTGACCGATTCTAGAGTGTACTCACTCTTTGAGTACACAATAATCCTAAGTACCTTGAATCTTGAAAAATAACAAAACAAAAACTTTCTTTTCATTTCTACGATTTATTCTTTGGCAAAAGTGATGATCTAATCTGCTTTAATTCTTATCCCAACACCTTGACAATAATAAATACCAGGTTGAAATAGTAAAAGTATTTTGAAAAGTTGAGATGTCACTAATTGCCGGTTCGGGTCCGGGTTTGGTCTTACACTTGGACCCGAACCGAAATTTCTTTTTTAACCCGACGCCCGAACCGACCCGAAAAATTTTACCCGAACCCATGGCCCGGTTCGGTTCGGTTTCGGGTACCCGACCGGGTTGCAGTACGCTAATTTTTCTTTACAATTAAATATATACTCATGGTTCATGGCAAAGATCAAATGATACAAATAAAAGAAAAAAAAAGCAATTTAAATGAAATAATTTTTACTCTCCATTGATGGTATCAGATGAGCTAAATAATTGGTTTACTGAACAACACAATGCCCACTATTTATACTGATGATAACCCATTAAACAAAGCTTTTCGTACTGTTATTTTTCGGGGTCGTCTCGCTTCGTCTCTCACATAAGTAGACCATTTTTAATTGATTCTAAATTCGTTCCTTGTATGATGACTGCTGTATAATGATCGTATCTTCATATATCGTACGATATTCTCTTTTTTCTCTCTTATGCATCGCGTAATTTTAATTCTTCCTTCTGTCGTACGACTTTTTTATGTTTTATTTTCATTAGTTCTATTAATTATAGTTGACCAGGGTAATTCGAATGATTCCAACAATTTTAGCTGGAGAGAAGTTACAAAACCTGAGTAAAATAAGTAAAAACTTAATTGACTCGACCGAATACCGTTGAAAATAGGAAAACAAAAAAAGAACATTTTTTTCAACTGACCCTTCTCATCTTTAAATTGATACTGCATTTTAACAAGACATTTCACGAGAAAAAAAGTTTAACTTTTCTGATACGAAAATTTTACTGCTACAAAGCGATGAAAAAGTAAAAATCATATGATTAATCCTTAAGAAGATAAATGGCTATTAATCGAAATCGAGTTACATTTCAATATCTCTAAATGTTGGATTTCATTAATTTTTCAAGTATAATACGAAATTATTACATAATAATAAGAGTTCATCAAAAAGTTATTAACAACCAGTCAAATAATATGGAAAGTATTGAGATTTCCTAAATGCAAGCCTAGATGTGTTATCAGCCCACAAGAGTTCCAATGCGTTTTTCTGAATGATATTCAGGTCAAACAAGCGTAGTCGTAAACGATCGTATGCGGAAAATTAGAAATGTGTAAGGTCGTTTACAAGCGTATACAGACTCCGTATTCGTCGAACTGGATATTTAAGAAAAAAGCAGCTTGTTAGTATATCCACTGTCAGACTGAAATGTGAAAATCGTATATGTTGTCAAGCATTGTGAACCTGATACAAACGATGTGAAATGAAAAAGCTCTTGTAGACTACTACTCTTTTTCAGATTAATCGACCAGCAAAATAAGAACCTTTTTAATTTCACCATTTCGAATTGAAGCTTTTTTTTCTAGGAATACTCTATTTTTTGTTTGCACTCATATCATATAGTGTTGGTTGCGTATGGGCATGTAAATGCGTGCATCTTAATGTATTTAATGCTGCGAATCCATGAAGTTTTGTTTATTCTACTGTTCTGTTCGACTGATTCATTTCAATAAGTTAATATTGTATTGCAAGAATTTACGAAACAATATAGGCGCCTAATATCAAGAAACAAATAAAAGAGTCACTACAATTTTTCGAACAAGTCGAGTTCCATGTGTCACATTTAGCTCCGCTTGACACATATCTTAAGAAAGTCTAACTCGACACATTTTCGCTCTTTGTTGTAAATCATTGATTTAGATTCAGAGAATAATCATATTGCTTATAGAAATTTGTAAAGTGTTTAAACATCACATGAATTTGATTGTTTCACTGCCAGAAGTGACATCATTAAGTCGTATTTATGTTCATTCATATGATTCCAAACAAAAACATCAGTTTGATCCTGTTTACAAAAAGCTCCTGCATGTTGATAAGCTTTTTCCGTTTTTCTCCTACTACTTTATTTGAAATTATATACATCAAATAAACCTAAAATTGATATTGTTCTGTATTTTTGATTCATAGCAGTTCTCAATAAAAAAAAATACAATTATCTAAGAATAATTCGATGACTGCAAGTGACAACAAAGCAAAATTAGACGCAAAGGAAATGCATGTTTCATAAATTCAACAAATGTTTACCTACATGCACTTTAAAAGCTTTCATCAACAGTGTGAATCATTTCATTTCTCAGACACGAGTATAATGATTTTAAATTTGAATAATCGAAACAATTTAAACTGTAGTTTACTCAAGAATATTTCAAGTAAAAGATTGAACGAACACCTTTCTCTTTCAATAAAACTCAATATATTTCTTTTCTAACAACCTAAGTTGATGTCAGAAAGGAGAAAAAACAGTTGCAAGCCCTATTATTGTTGCAACATGGACGTAAAGATTATGTAAAATCGATGTGTAGATTGAAAAAAAAATGTTTTGTTAACGATGGAAGAAAAAAAAACTATTACCATCAAACGAAAACGAAGTAAAAATCATTTTTCTTTATCACATAGTAAAATTGAACACATTTCCAAATGACGGCAATAGTTGGTACAAACACTAATGATATTGTGGATCTTAATATTTATATGATTCCGAAAACATTTCGTGATCCGGTTCTTGCAAAAGATTGTTATATTTATGAACGAGAAAAAATTTCTGATTGGATTCAAAAGCACCATATCAGTCCATTTACCGGACAACGATTATCTGTTTCTGATTTACAACCTGATAATCGTTTGCAACGTTTAGCTGCACAACAGCAAGATGAAGAAGCATACGAAAATTTTGGAGAGATGATGATCCCTTGTGTTTCTCCTGCAACACCACTCATAGAAGATAATTCATCTGAAAGTAGTCGAGGATCTTCGAAGGATAGTAAAACTGGTTTCATTCTTATTATTTGCTTGTCAATTTGTCTAATCGTTTTTATTCTCGGAATTACAGTAGTTGGATTTAAATTTTATTTAGCAGGTAATTCGAATTACATTATACGTATGTGCTAAAGAATAATTTATACTGAACTAGTTACATCTCAAAATTTTATGATTTGAATATACATCGAAATATTTTCATAGATGCAATTTATGTCAATCAGATAATGAAAGTATTCTCATGTTAGTAACGCATCAAAAATAGCGTTTTGTTAAGCTAATCTAGATTTAGCAACTGACAATCAATAAATTTTCTATTGTAGCGAGAAAATTGATATTGATTTCAATAGTACAATCTTGTCAGGCATTAGTTAATCGATTGACAATAGGTAATCCACAGTGAATTATTCTTCAATTTATAGACATGAGACTCCTATAGTGACTGATATGGATAAGCTGAGAAAGGAGATATCACTTATCATATCATTCACGTTGTTTTTTTCAAATGCCTTTGTTTTCGATGTCTTTTTGGTCATTCAGAGATTGTTTTCACTACACTTCTACATTTATTCAAGTCGAAGTTACTAATATCAAAACAGCAGTGAGTCAGAACCATGTATTAGAATATCCCGATATATAGAATTCTGATTAAAACATATCAACTGAGTCGAATTTTTGACTTCGTGTTCGACAATTAAAATCTACATCGTTTGATAAGGCGTAAAAAATTGAATGTAACTGTATAAATTTTACAAAAGGGTACTTCTAAATCCCCAACAAAAATATCGAAAATATGTACTACCCAAACAAAGCATTAGAGAGAACGGTATGTATTTTAGATACTTTTGCTGAGAACTTGGAAGTACTCCTCTGTAAAAACTATACAGTTATACTCTGTTTTTTACGCACTATCGAATTGTGTTGATTTTATTTGGCGAACACGAAGTCGAAAATTCAGCCCAGTTGATATGTCATATCTTTTGCCTGATTAGCTATCATTTAGAACAAAGATTAGCGCCATATCAGCATTAGTTTCAATAGAACTTGGAAATATTTTATAATCTAAACTTATTTTATTGAATACTTTTAGCAGTGAATGTAACATCATGCTATTCTGGGGTGGTTACAATGACGAGTCCAGTGTACTTTGTCGAACGCAACATCAAAAATAAAATTGAAAAAATGATGTACAGATATGAAAAAATCCGAATTACTGTATCAACTTCTGGCTTGTATAGATTCGAATGCAAAATAGATAATTTTCCACATTTTGTTTTTATTGGGACTATTGACTTATACAAGAAAAATTTTGATCCTACAAACTTGTCAGTGAATCGAATGACTTATAAATATGGCGGTGACGGAATTCATAGAAGCTCTTTTGGTGTTTCATTACGATCTGGTGACTACATCTTAGTGGTTAGCATGACTGGTGCTTATGAAAAAAAATCATTCTCTGTTCTAGTTACTGGTCCAGCCAAAGTTACTTTCTTTTGAAGAAGATATAAATTAAATAATTTTAGTTTTGTATTATCATGTGAAATTGAATTTATATGATCACTGATTAATAAAAATTTCTTTGCATTCCATGCTGTTCGTTCTAATATTTCGGGTGGATGTGGTTGTGTGTGTGAGTGAGATTTTCATCTATCACATTTTTACCCAAAGCCACACTCTTTCTTTATTTATGTCGACTTCTGAGCCGAATCTTGGTTGACTCTTCTATAAAACTATAAAACTTTAAGAAACTCTAATTCAGAAAATGGTAGAAGGTTTATGCGTGCATCTATGTAAATGGTTAACTTCTGAGAAAGAATATTTTTGCACATGTCTGTCTGAATCCTTGCTGTACTACAGTCCAAAAGGCTTTTCTACAGTATATTAAGCCGTCACGATGTGCATGTGGTTAAGTGATGCAAAGCTGAAGGTTTTCTTTTGTAGCTCTAATTGAAGAAATAGTATGTGTGCATGTCTCCTTATCTAAGTGAATATGATATGAGTCACCATCACTTTTGCTTGGATATTCATAAGGATACTACAGGACTTCACTAGAATGGCGATTTATTTTTTGCCGATGAGAAAATTTTTCATTTGGACTTGCTATTTTTAAATGATATCTGGATCTAACTATGCAGTTTTTAGTCTTCTAAACGACTCAGAGGAAAGTTGTTATTTCTATAATGTGTTTTATTAAAATCTGCTTGTCAGTAGTGAAAGAAATTAAATAAGTTTTAAAAACGTCACTTAGATGTAAGTTGAAGAGCGATGATTTCTTTTCAAAGAGAAAATATGGTTATTGCATTTAAAATGTTTCTCTCCACTTGATCGATCCTATGGAAACATACCAGTGCTTTTAATCTAAAGTGGTGCATGTAATTCTTTTTCGTTCGTTCTTTCTTTAGTTTTATTTTATTTCTTCATATATCATTTTATGTTTTACCTTCGTAAACAGAAATCCTTCTGATTCCATTTCTATTGGCTACACATACGTTGCTATCTACAGAAAAAAAAAGGATACAAAAATACTATCTTTATTCAATATCACATCTGAGATGCCACAAGTCAATTACAAAAATCATTGGTGTGAAGAAGAAATTCATCTTAAAAGAGTTTGTAAAATTTAGATGATGTGTATACTGGAAATTTACTTTTTTTTCGTTTGTTTAAGCCAAATAGACACCACAAATTACTGGGAATCACTATTGCGGGAGGTATCGATGCACATTTCCGTCATCCTAGTTTTACATCCATTATCATTACACACATAGATAGAAATAGTCTTGCACATGAAGATGGACGACTAAGGTAAGTATATCTGCATTCTGTTAATGATCTATTTCTATCACTAATCTACTACTTCAGATTATATGACATAATATTGAGTGTAAATAATATCAATTTGGCAAATAGGAAACAAAAAGAAGTTGTTAATATACTAAAGACATCGGCAACAAATGTTAAATTGGTAAGTGGAAGAAGGTGCATGTGCAAATTTCTTATTTTAATGCAATTTTTCAATCACTCTATTCAGTTAATACGACGCCTTTCACCACCAAATACTGAAGAAATAGAACTAAAACATAATGGAAACATAGGGATTTCGATTTCAGGTGGACTTGGACGTGAATATATTGAAAAGTAGATTCTACTACTATGTTTGTTTTGCTGTTAAAATCTTTTATTTTTCAATTTCTACCTTAGTGATCATGGTATATTTATTACGAATATCAATGAAAATCAAACTAATAATCGATTACATGTAGGCGATCGATTATTAAAAATTTCATCAATGGTAAAATAATGATGTTATTTTTAATCGATGCAGGTATTATTTATCTAATACTTCTTTTTACCAGCATCATCGGTACGACCTACGATTTGTCACCTATGATCAGGCAAAAAGATATATGGAGTTAGTGTGTACAGAAAGTGAAAAGATTAAACTATGTGTTGCACATAAAAAACCTATTATTCAAGTGTAAGTCCGAATAGACTCATGTCGCTGTGAAAATAAGAGAAATGAATAGTGTTTGTATTGCCTCTTGTAGACGCTTTGGAGGATGTGACGTATACCAAGAACAAAATGCTTCTCACGATTTGGTTTATCCAGGTAGTGTAGATTTATCTACTATTCATTTTATCTAGTCTTTATTTATCTTTTTATTCATTTCATTTTTATAACCCCGGCACTGTTCTAGTAAATCGAACTCAATTTTTAATTACAACTGCTAGAGATCAACATACCCAAACTGAAAATCTTAATGGAAATCCCCAGACAACCAATATAATGCCGAATGAGCAGCATGCAGACAATACAAGGCAGCAGCAATCTACACCTTCATCCCGTACTCCTGGTATACGTGATAAACAAGATCGAAACATTTGGTTTTATATATTCATTTTAGATTATCAAAGATATGACAATCTTAATAACGCTTTCCTGCATGTCTCGCCTAATAGTCGAGGTACAAATAGGCCAACGATGTTACCCGTAGTGGAACGACCAGAATCACAGTCCCATATTATCAAATTTGCGAAAATTGAGGACAACAGTTACATTATGGGAGTACTCTTTCTTGAACAGCATCACACGTAATTTTCATTGCTCTCTATACAACTAGAAAAATATTTAATGGCCTCTTTTTAGATTTACAACGGCGTCCAGGGTAAAAACTTAAGAATTAATCAGAAAATCAATACTGATGTTAGACAACTGGTAGCAGATTAAGAGAAAAATTTTGAACTGAAAACTGTGAGACTGTTGATGGAAAATCACTCTTATTGAAACTGATTTTTTCCTACTTAAATGTTAAAAAGTTTGGAGAAGTTCTACGTCGGCGACTTGAAAAAGAAGCTACCATTTAGATGTTACATTATTTCTTTTTCATTCTAGGAATACTTAGTGTGTGTGTTTATTTTCTAGAGATATATGTCTCATCAAGATACTGTTACAGAACAGGGAAATGTGCGCCAAACCGCAACAGGAGGAAGAATGATAGGTAAGCTATGGATAACCTATTTCATTCCTTTCTTGCAAACTTGTTTTGTAATTATACAAACTTGAATTGATCTCTTGGTTTTCGTTATTTTTTTCAAATGGTATTTCTGCAACACATCTAGAAAGACGAGAAAATCAAGTAACTCCAACATCGAGCATCATTGTAGAAGATATGCAGCATAGTAGAAGAAGGGAAGTAAGTATAAGCTAGAACACTTGAAAATAATGTAATACGTCATCGATTTTCTATTTGTTTCTTACATCTAGCCAAGATATACTTAAAGTGCTGTGTAAATAAAGTCAATGCAAGCTTCAAAAGTGACCATTAACAGGATGAATTTGTAATCAACGAACTACTCCATGCCTTTTTTTTTTATTATAAGTATAAAAATAATTATCTCAAACAGAAAAATGTTGTTGCCAGTGTCGTATGACATAAAATCTACGTTTTCTCAATTTACCAGATCGATAGTAAAGTCCAGCTATCACAAACGTAAGAAAAGAAAAAATTGAAAACACTAGTTGTCAAAGAAACTAACTGATGAGACTAGAAATTTCCACCAATATTAAAATTCATATAAATAAACTTTTCAAACAATTAATTGTCCGTAGCTATTGAGTTGTAACATAAGCT